ACTGTCTTCTTCTAGTGATGTTTCTCCCATCAGTTTGCAGTCTGAAGGGGGGGGATATGGAGATTGAAGTCTTTCCTAATGTTAATGATTCAGATGAAGCTGAGTTTTTAAGGAAGTCTAACAGGAATAGGTCAGTGCCAGTCTGGCATAAGGATTATCATGTGAGTATGGCTGCCACAACCACCAACAAACGTCACATTGTTGGTTATGACCATCTCACTGCTTCTCAGAAGGCTTTTGCCTTAAATGTTCTCTCTATTGAGGAACCAACCTCATATGCTGAAGCTTGCAAGGATCCTCGTTGGTTGCAAGCTTGTAAAGAGGAAATAATTGCATTGTATGAAAACCAGACTTGGGAAGTGGTTAAATTGCCTCAAGGAAAGAGACCTAAATGGGTATTTAAAGTTAAATACAGGTCTGATGGAGCAATAGAGAGGTTCAAGGCACGGTTAGTAGCCAAGGGCTATACTCAAATCTATGGCATTGATTTCCTGGACACATACTCTCCAGTTGCCAAAATAAACTCAGTGAAAACTCTATTAGCTGTTGCAGCAGCCAAGGATTGGCACATCCACCAAATGGATGTGTCCAATGCATTTTTACATGGAGATTTGGATGAGGAGGTGTACCTGGAAATTCCCCCTGGAGTTGATGTGCCTAAGGATTCAGGTATGGTTTTCAAACTTAAGAAATCCTTGTATGGACTCAAACAGGCAAGTAGGCAATGGTTTTCTAAACTTGCTAGTGCACTGCTGAAAAATGGCTATTCACAAACTGCCTCTGATTACTCAATGTTTGTGAGGTGGATACAAGGAAGAGTTGTAGTAGTCCTTGTCTATGTTGATGACATATTGATTGCTGGAAGCCACCTTGGAGACATCCAGCAACTTAAAATCTTTTTGAGCAAGGAGTTCAAGGTTAAAGAACTAGGTCAGATGAGCTACTTTCTTGGTTTGGAGGTTATTAGAGATCATAAAGGGATCTCTGTCTGTCAGAGAAAGTACTGTCTAGAACTTCTTGATGACACTGGTTTAATAGAAGCCAAAGGCTGTATCTCTCCAGTGGATTGTAATGTTAAGCTCTCTGCAGAGCAAGGTGAATTGTTAGCTGATCCAGGTGGGTACAGGAGGTTGATAGGGCGTTTACATTATCTGACTATCACTAGGCCAGATATAGCTTATGCTGTACAACAACTTGCCCAATTCCAATCATCACCTCGCATTGAACACCTGCAAGCTGCACACCGAGTTATCAGGTACCTCAAACAGACTCTTGGTCAAGGTTTGATCTTCAGGGCAGATTCGAAACTTGAACTTTCTGGATATTGTGATGCTGACTGGGCAAGTTGCCCTGACTCGAGAAGGTCACTTACAGGCTACTGCACATTCTTGGGAACTTCATTGATAACTTGGAAGACTAAGAAGAAGACCACTGTGTCTAGATCTTCCTCGGAGGCAGAGTATAGAGCCTTAGCTCAAGTTGTTTGTGAGGTCCAGTGGTTGAGGAATTTGCTTGCAGAAATGGGAATCAAGGTACCATTACCATTTCTCTGATCTGTGATAACAAATCTGCCTTACACATTGCTGAAAACCCAGTTTTTCACGAAAGAACCAAACATATTGAGATCGATTGCCATGTTACGAGAGAAAGGTTGAAATCAGGGTTGATTAAACTGCATCATGTGAGAACTGATGATCAAGTGGCGGATTTGTTTACAAAGGGAATGACGAGATACAGATTAAAGTTTCTATTGGACAAGCTGGGAGTTCACAATGCTTACTCGCCAGCTTGTGGGGGTGTATTAAGTGAAGAAGACGAAGAAGATGACCTGCAGAGCAAATGAAGTGAAGCTGCAAAGGATTCAGAAGAAACGAAGAAGAAACCTCACCCAGAAACGAAACGTTTCTGGGTTCCCTTCCATCCAGCTCAAGTGAAGGAGCGATACGACGACGTTGTGGAGTTCTAGAACTTACCGTTGGGTGGAACCATTTATGACGAATCACGTTGTGCCAAGTGGCTTTACATTTACTGTTAATTTAAATTTCAGTTTTCCATTTCCAGTTTTACTGTTTTGTAACGTGAACTTGAATCCTTCTGCTTGGGTATAAGAGACGAGCTAGAGAGATCCTTTGCTCTCTGCGCGTTTCCCATTTCGTCGCGTCTCTTTCTTCCGCTTAAACCCTAGCTCGAGCTAATCTGAAACTAAGTGCAGTCGCTGGTCATTAATGATATATATTTTGCTTCAATATTTCCAATCCAGTGGCCATCCAGTTAGAAGTTAGATATTGTTCTAGAAGCGGAGGGTTGGAGTTGAAGGAGAAGCATATGATGATCAGACACTAAGTCTATGAGGTGGAGGACTTGCATATTTGGCCATGAGTGACAAAAAGAGATGAGCACAAGCATTTATCAAGCCGCTCAAGATATATTTTTATGGGGAGCGCGATGATTCGACCAATTGAATGGAAGATCTTGAAAACACATGTATTAAAGAGAGGATCCTGTTGGAAATAGGTGTAATTGGGCAAGAGCAGAAGGATAAGGAGGTCTGCCTACTGTTGTTCTTATAGACAACAAACAGTTGAAATCACCTAAAATAAAAATTGGAGAAGAGGAGGACGAGATAAGAATATATATTTTATTTAACTATGATTGACGAAGATTTTTATCACAATTAAAATGAACGGAAATGAACTTAATAAAGTCAAACATTAGAGGGGAATACAATAACAACCAGGTATTGTAGTGTATGCATAAGGGCAACACAATAAACCTCTAAAGTCCAAGCTATCGCCATGCCACTAGTTGCATTAAGTGAGCTGATCAAGACACAATCAGAAAAACCAAGACGATGGACATGATGTTTAACCTTCCTATCATGACAGTTAGTCTCACATATAGAAGAACGAAAAGATCAGAAGTGCGAAACAAGGAGGGAGAGATGGAAGTGCATCGACGAGCAGCGAACTAGGAGATTGTGCGGCGAGGAAAACGACTGTCGATGGAGAGGGGTTGAAAAACATGATGAGTAAGAGCATGCCGAGGACTTTGATGGATCCTAGTGACACTTGCGAGGTCAATGAGAAGATCTATGTATCTAGTGGTTAGCGACATATTTGATTAGGAGGGAACTATCTTAGACAAGAACGGGAGAAATGGAAAAATTAAGTAGTCGAAGGAGTGATGACGACAACTTTAATGTCTCGTCGAAATCGTATCATAGTTGGATCCAATTGTTTGGTTATACTTTAGGTAACCAGTTCGTGGAGCGAGAGCGAGAGCGGGAGCGAGAGTGTGAAAGCGTCTGAATAATAAGAATTCAATATTGAGAGCGCAAACAAAGCGTTATTGTTATATTATTTAACTAGTATAATAGATATTTATATTGTAATTATTATAAAATTATTTAAAATACTGGAACGAAATCCAAAAATATATAATATAATAGAATTTATATAGACACCAGTAAATAGTAATGATAAAGGATGGAGACTCTTTCCTAATTTTAATTTTGTTAATAATAATTCTGATATATATTCCATAGCCATTTTATTTTTCATTTTATTATTTTCGATTTTGATTTTTCATTAGCATATTTTCTTTTCCTTTTATTTTCTTCCCCATTCACCCACCAACCACTCTCATTGCACAATATGAACTCCTCTCTACCCAATTTCTCACTTTTCTCTAACGCAAGCAAGAGCTCCATTCTTTTCCACGGGTACCCACGGGTTTTTGTCGTAAAAATGTTATAATAACAAGTTCCTATCAAAATTAAAGTCAAATATCAATCTCTCAATACAAATTATCCATATATAAAACATCACTCTAGAAAATTCAAGCAAATCACAAATTAAATATATAAATTGTTCATCACCAATCTAGAAAACTCAAGAAAATTGAAGCAAATCACAAATTATCCATAAATAACATGATTAATTAAAATCTTCTTCTTTTCAATTAAGTTTGTTCACTCTCCACTCGATAACATCAACTTTATTCTACACAATTAGAAAGAAAAAATTAGACATGTCTCCACAAACATAAATAAGATTAGTTGTTTAGAATATTAAATATATCGAGAAAATTAATTATATGGGAGTGGGCGGGTACCCATGAGGCGGGTTTACCTAAACCCAAACCCAACCCAACCCGATGAATAGTGAACGGGTTTAAACCCAAATCCGGCCAAAAACCTATCAACACAAATTTTACCCGCGTTGACCGGGTTGGGTCGGGTGGGTACCCGTGGGTTCGGGTTTTGTTGCCATCCCTAATCTCAACTTCTCCCATTCGCTATATGTTCCTCAAGTTTCTGTCTTTTATCTGAAGCAGAGTAAGAACTCTATTCTTCTCCCATCTCCTTTTATTCTCTGGCAACCGATGTTCTCTGTCACCAAATGAACATTTTCTGGGTCTATTAGATATCTTGGCGGAGAACACTTTGTCGTAGGATGAAGAAACTAATGGATCGGCTACAGTCAATTCACAGCCGAAAGGGAAAAGAACCGCCGGGCGCCGACTGCCGAGAACACCTAATCTTTTCTCTTTGCTTTCTAGTAAAACCCAATCCATTAGAATGATTCGTGAATTTCCGAATATAGTTCGCGCTCCCAATCACTATAATTCGCGAATTATCAAAGCTCTATAGAAAAAACGCGTTTTCACGCTCTAAATCGAGAGCGCCGATAATTGACCCATGAATTGGTTGACCTAAGTTATACTATTGCAGATTTTATCATTTAGATTTACCCCAGATAAAATTTCCAATCTTTCACCATTTGTATTTTTCTAAAATCATCCACTCTTCTACCCAATCCCTCTTCAATCTGACACGCCTTCATCTTTCAACATAAAAGCAGTGACCCATCTGCTCGTTTCTCCTTCCATCAATCCTTTTGCTTTTTCTTTTCCACCACAAAACCAATTCCCCCTTCACCAAAAACAGAGGGCAGAAAGAAAATTTTAAAAGCAAACAAAACCCCCAAAATCATATTAACAACTGGCAAAAAATTACAAAAGGGAAAAGAAAAAGGCATGTATGCATAAGACAGACTGCACACTGCAGAGGGGTTATAGTTCTTCTTCTAAAACTCTACCGCTCCATCTTCTTCTTCCCAATACACCCTCTCTCTCTCTTTCCATGTCTTCTACTTCTTCTGAGGAGACTTCTTCGGAATTAGGAAACAAAGTAACAGAGCATTCAGAAATGGAATTTGACATTGAAAACCCACTAACCAGTCACCATGGTATTCACTCCGACACTTTCCCTTCTCTATTCCTCATCGAATCTGATCACATGCCTTCCCTTTCCTACTCTAAGTCCGTCAAAACACCCGCCGGCATCGGCTTTTCTTTCCGCCAGGATGCTGTTTCTTCCATTTTACAGGTATACAGAGCCACGGAAAATATTCTGTTTCTATTTTTCTTGCTGTTAATCCCCTGTTTTCTTTTTTCACGAGGATCCGATTCCATTTCAGGTCTGTTGCTGCTTCGACCCATTTTTGTCCTATCTCGCAGTTAATTACCTCGACCGGTTCTTGTCAACCCAAGGAATGCCGGTAATTATGAAGCACCATCTATCTATTTACTTTGTTTACTGGATGATAGATAAATAAATAAAAAACAGAGTAGCTTCAAAAAAATATCTCAAAGATCTTATTTTTCTATCGCTGTAGCTACAAAAGCCTTGGGTGGTTCGCCTTCTCAGAGTGTCTTGCGTCTCCCTGGCAGTGAAAATGATGAACAGAACCACAGAGTTCTCTCTCAATGATATTCAGGTCCAATAAAGGAAAACAGATCAAGAAACTTTTCAATGCAATTCCTCTGTTTTCTCCGATTTGGCCAACTTCACTCTGTTTTTTTAATTAATGCAGGGGAATGCCAGTCATGGAGGACTTATGTTTGACACAGAGACGATTCAGCGGATGGAAGCTCTGATACTGGGAGCTCTGAAATGGAGGATGCGCTCCGTCACTCCTTTCGCCTTCCTCTCTTTCTTCATCCATTACTTCAAACTCAAAGACCCACCATTGAAACAAGCACTCAGAACCCGTGCTACTCAAACCATCCTCAGAGCTCAGAATGGTAATGGAAATTTTCTTTTTAGCAAAAATCGCTTGGTGGGTTTCGTAGCTGAAATTAGACTGATCCATTTTTGTGTAGAGGGCAAGATGGTGGGATTCAAACCGTCGTTAATTGCAGCATCGGCGCTTCTTTCGGCGTGCCATGAGCTCTTCCCGTTGCAGTTTTCGTGCTACAGAGATGCGATCCTCAGCTGTTCATATGTAAATAAGGTAATAAAAGAACCGGACTTTTTTGCACCTGCATGGAATTTGTTTATTCTTATACCGGGACAGTTTCGTGTATAATTTGTCTTGGTATTAATGGAGACAACTGTTCGTCGTTGTTTTAGAAGCTCCACAACAACCCTTTTTTATATGTCGCAGCGCAGAACTTAGTACAGTGCATTTGGAAAAAAAAGTGATTTGACCCAACAGAAAAAGAACTCCCATCCATTCATTAGGGACATAGAAAGAAGAAAGTTGTTTCGTACTTAATTAATTCCAAGGATTAGTTTACTGATAATGATAGATAAAACAAAAATTGAAGGGGTTGGTTGGTATAGCAGCAAGACTTAATACACCTATTCTAGGTCGAATCATTTAAAAATGATATAATTAGTTAAAGTGGGTGGGTATCTCAATAAAAATCAGTGTTGATGGGTTTTAGCTCGGGTGAAAGTTTTACTGACTTTTAAAATTTGTGGGTCGGGTTTGAATCTTGCAAAACCGAATCCTCTTTTCATCGAACCTGCACATAAAAAAAAGTCAAAAGATGTCATTTTATGTCTTAATATGAACAATATGAATAATTTATGGTGCTGTTAATCTATATGTCAGCATAGTATAGATAATTTATGAATTTATTAGTCTTTATAAAGTTATACTTGGAGGGAAATTTGATAACATTACGACATTAGTGATCGGTGAAAAAATGTATAGTTATGTTTGTGAACCCGAAGGGTCGAGTTTGCTCTTCTAAAACCCAATGAATATTTTACTAAATTTCTTTCAATGAGTGCACTCGCCGGGTTGCGTTTGAGTTTATATAAACTCAACCCGTCCCATTTCCATCCTACTTAATAGTAAGGCTTTACTCGGTTTACGATTAGGTGTGTGTATTAAATTGCGTAATTTGGTTTGAGACAAGAGTTGAGTATACATATGCAATGCTGTAAGAGAAAATTGAAAAAAATGATAAATTCAAAATAACAATAGAGATAATAAAATGATTAGTGAAATCAAAATAAATCAGAGACACGTTTAGAAATATAAGTATTATTAGGGTTTAGGAGTTTAGATGACCAATTGTGGCCGAATTAGGGTTTAATTAGGATTATTTATTATTAGGTTTTTCATTTTTGGATTTATTTCTTATATAAAAATGTATTTTTGGTTTACCTGGGATCAATAACAAAAAGTATTTAGAAGATATCTCTCAAAACGCTAATCTCTCTTTCTTTCAATATATTGGTTGTTCTTCTCCTCCAATTTCCTCTTCTAAATCCCCAACCCCAATTCTAATCTTTCTATTCAAATCCCTAATTCCTATCGTAATTCTCAATTCTCTATCAAATTCTCAATGTGCGAACCCTAGACGTACACGCCTAGATCCGCAGTTCTTTCATACACGGAAATTCTCACTTCATGATACCTATATTGGATTAAATGTATATGTGATAAGCTAAAGTAACATTAAGGAGAATGTGACGAAAAGACTCATACTCCTATCCGTACAATCCAAGTAACATGCAGAATACCTATCTCAACCAGATCAAATCAGATCGGATGAATCCAATAAGATAATTTTTTTTTTCTTTTTTGTAATCGCTAGTGCATAATACTAAGATATTTACGATGATATGGAGAAAAGCCAAATTTCAAATTTTATTTATTTATATATATAGTTTTTTTTTATTATTGTAAAAAATGGGGTCCATGGCGCAGGAAATGATGGAAGAGAGCTACAGGGAGATGCAAGAGGTGGCAATGGAAGAGTACGAGTCAGTGATGGACAGAGTGTCCAGCTCCGATACGCCGGTCAACCTGCAGATTGACCGGCAGCTCTTCTTCTGCTCATCGGCGTCGTCAGAAGGAGAAGAAGAAGAAGAAGCGAAGCAGAAGAATATGAAGGACGGGACCATTGATGATATCTCTACTGCAGCTGCAGCAGCATCATCCACCACTAGCACTAGTATCAGCAGCTGCTGCAGCGATGGCGGTACTATTGGCCAAGTTGTGGCAGTGGACAATATTATGATGACGGAGGCCATCAACCGCAACAACTCCAAAAGGAGGAAGATTACTACCACTGCAACCACCACTAATTACTGTAATAATCATGATGATGAACATAATAATGACGCCACTGCTGCTGCTACTCCTGAAATCTCCCAACGGCTTTCTGATCCCGATATTGCTCCACATCATCAGTATCACTACAACTGCTGATGATCAGTACTACTCTACGCTGCTTAAGCTTTTAAATTAAATAAATAGGAAATTTATTAATATGTGTAAAGAAAAACGAAGAGATATGAAAAAAAGAGAAAATTAGAATTCCATGGAGGAACTATTGCTTGCTGCTACTTCATGAATTTTGTTGATTATTAGATAAATGGTTCTCCTTGTGCAGCTATCCAACTGTTGGCATTTTGTTAATTTCGCCTGCGTACGATAGAATGCAGAGGTCGGAATGGAACCAAGGAAAATAGTCGATAGACTTCTTCAAAGTAATAGTATTTCAAGTTGTAAATATTTATTTATTTATTTTCATCACAAACATCAAAGGTTAGCATAAATATTGGTTTGTTTCAGTGATCCACAACATTTTGGTAATTTTTGTGAAGATTAATTCTTGGTGTTCTTGGGCCGGGGCCCTCGTCTGGATGGACGAGATTTGGTTGAGGTAATTGGTCCCCTACAAACAATGAGATTTCCTTGTCTTGAGATTGGTTTGGATCCAATGTTACAGATCTCTGTGTTCCAGAAACAGCAGGTGATAGTTACTCTACAGTGTACTCTAGCGTTGTAGGGTCTGCTCTTCTCTAGGAATGACAATCAAATCGTGATTACGGGTATCAGACCGTTCCCGATCTAATCAATACAAGATTCTACACATTGACTGAATATGAATAAAAATATAAAAAAATTCTGTGGATGATGCGAATTTGGTTTGAATCTCCCTGCCCCATACATATATCCATCCTACTAAGAGTATTCCCTATATGGATCATATTGTAACCTCTCAAAATGACCTAAAGGGAAATAAAAAAAAGAGCTAAAATATGATTGAGTATCCACCCGAGAGAGCGGTTCCATGGCTACTAAAAGCAAATTGGGTATGAAAAAAATATTTATTGATTCAATTTTTTAACAAATTATATTTTAACAAGTTACAAAACATATTAATTAAAATGATCTCTCTCTATATACCTATCTCACTTTCGTAATCTCTAGCCACATCTCTTTTCCTTCTTTTTTCTCAATCTTTTTCTTGTCTCCGTTTAGCCGAACTAATATCACTGCAAAAATAAAACAATAAATCAATACAAATCCATTAAACAAACACGACCACTTCAAAAAACACCAATACCATCATAGCGATAAAACTAGAAATCAATAATAAAACATAAAAACACTACCACTACAGCCTACACAAAACGCTACCACTACCACTATTAGGGGTGGGCATTCGGTCGGTTCGGTTTCGACCGAACCGAAATTATGAATACCGGGTCCCCGAATTCTCCCAAACCTCAAACCAAATTTCACCCCTAATATAAACAATAAATATGCAATTATATGCATCATCAATGATAAAATCAAATATTCAACACATAAGTCATAAAACATTTCAAATATCTACACAATAAATAAAAGCCAAATGAGAAAACTTGAAGCCCCATTTCAAATTTCCTGCATCCATAGTGAAAGTAGGAATGATATTTTGGTCTTCACAATTACTTTTTTTATTCATTAAAAAGACACGTACTAGGATTCGAACCATCACCACTTTAAAGAAAAACAAAAATCATAACCAATCACACTAAGTACATTAATTCTACCTTTTTAATTAAAAACATATGATAGCAGAGAGGAAATAACATTTCCCCCATTTCAAATTCCCTGCTCCATGAGCGTTTGTAGGAAGGGTAGAATAGGGAGTGTCAATTTTTTTCTTTTTTCCTCTGTGGAACGGGCCAACTTACTATACACATGTGAATTTAAACGGGTCTAGGAGTGTCAATTTTTTTCTTTAAGCCTTTTTATTTCTCTGTGGTGGTAAAATATATATGAAAAGGAAAAAAGAATACTCCTTTTTATTGCTAAAAAGAAAAAAAATTAACAATAAACTAATGCATGGATTCTAATGGGCTAACCGCTAACCATAAAATAAAAGAGTGGAATGGGTTTGACCTACACGAGATTTGGCCATCAAGTAAAACAAATGAACATCATGGGTTTGCCATTCTAAAACAAGCTATTTTCTCTAGCATAACATATATTATGCTATTATTTTATATCTTAGTGGCTAAAATATAATGTATTTTAAAGTTATTCAATGCTTCAACCTCGACCAACCCAATTAGTCCAATTTTTATCATTTCAAATATATATTATGTAATTATTTGATATCATAATGATTAAATTATAGTATATTTTATAGGGAATCGTTTGGTATTTGTTAGTAAAAAACTAAACAGAAAGATCTATTTGGTTATTTTTAACATTAAAACGATCCTAAACATTTTCAGTTTCCTTTCGAATTTCTATAGTTTTATTCGCGAATCAGTTATGTGCAAATGGCGAATTGCAGTCATCTCTTTTCTTTCACTATTTTTGATTTTCAAATAGAAAGTTTAAAAGTAAAGAATAATTAGAGTTTGGCATGGGTCGGTCAAACAAGCTGAATTTCATGTTTTGGCCCGTTTTGATCAAGTCTAATTTATAATTACATGGTTCTCCGATACCCGATAAAAATCTCAATCCAAACCAGTTTGGCAGGTGAGTCTGTGTTTACCACCATTTTCTAGGGATACAGGAACGACAGTTCCTATCCCAAATCGTGTTGTTCATTCTTGATTTCTCTAGATTTTATCATGGGCTGGCAAAAACCAGAAAGCACAATGATGACAAGATGAAAGTTTTATAAAGTAAATTAATCGGCCAACGGGCCGAGTAAAAGCTAGCAACGATTTTGAGATGCTCATTTCCCGAAAACCGGCGGGATAATCGATTTTTTATTCCATTTTCTGGAATTCGGTTTTTATCAAACTTACTCCACCTCATCATATTACCAGAAATAATATTGTTTCACAAGGTAACATGTACTTGATTTTGGTTCATAAGGCTGATTTTTTATTCGTTGCATCATTTTCGGTCGGAAATTCGAAAATTCGTTTCGGTTGAAAGAACCTTGATTTCCGAAATATCCATACTTCCATTCCGAATTCCGAACCGAATAGCATTATTTCGGTTTCGGTTCGGTTTAATTCGGTTTCAGTTCGGTTCGGGTCTACTGAACTGGTTGCCCACCCCTAACCACTATCACAACATATACCACTTATTAATGAATACCATTGTAAATTTAACCTATACCAATACATGAAGATCAAAATCAATAAGATAACATCAATACCAAAAAATAATATATAGTATTACATGATAATCAATACCAATGCGGAAAAACAATACAACTACTAAAAATCAATACCAAAATGAAAAAAATACATACCACTAAGATAAAATCGTATTTAAAATCCGACCAATAGTTGTCAGCTCCTCATCACCACCGCATAAGCGACATTTGGTGACAGGTCATCTCCGGGGGTAGTGAGAGAGAGAGAGAGAGAGAGAGAGAGAGAGAGAGAGAGAGAGGGAAGAAGGGTGGGCGGTGGGGTAGGGAGGTGGGAGGGACAACAGGGGTTGACAGCAGTTCGAAGTGGAGAAAAAGAGGGTGGGAGGGAGGTGGCTAGGAGAATGTGAGGTGTTAGGTTTTAAAGGGTAATAATCACATGTAGTATTTTTTTCGTTTCCAAAACTATGCTTAGAACAATCTTAATCGTTAATTTAAAAAGGAGGGAAAACAAGGTAAATGGACTGTATAGAGTTTGATAGCCATCGTGGCTACTAAAATAATAGTAATTATCCTAACTCATCTCATATGCGCTCTAATTACTTTCCCTCTATTCGCTTCACTCTTTCACCTCTATCACCCTTGTTAACAAGTTTTTTCGCTTCCACACAAAACTGATGCAATTGTATCAATCTCAGTAAAACGCAATTCAAATACGCTAAAATTTGTGTTGGCTGCCCATAACCGATGTAAAATTTCAAAAAAGGGTCTAGTCAATAACTGACACAAATCTCGATTAAATGAACCGACACAATATAACCGACACTAAGCCCATGTTTTCTTGTAGTGAGTATCCCTCTAAACATTCCATGTTTTTCAAAGCTAATAAAGGATTATCCACGTTATAAACATTAAGTGAAACAATTAAGGAATCAATGATCGTTAATCTGACTACAGATTACGGGGAATCGGTACATGAGTGTCTTTTTTGATAACTGAAACTCAAATTAATTTCCTATTACTTTATTAGTTCTTAATTAATGTTATTCGAATATGTTTTCTAGATAAAAATTAAAACTGAGTAGTAATACATCTAGTGACCCTAAATTGATAAATAAACTTAATACCAATATAATGCATTCCTATCATTGGTTTCACTTGGCTTTTGATTGGGGTTATAGTTTTAGAGAGTCAACAACGGTTGTACTTCATGACTTATGGTGGAGTCTTTGGAAGGAAAGAAATTACAAGAGAATATTTAAGGAAAAAGAATCCACAATACAAGTTTTATGTTACAAGATCAGTATGCTTATTGTTTGGCGTGAGTTTGAATCAATGATAATGATAGTGCCTTTGCCTTTCCAGCACAACATGATAATGCAACTTCAATGTAACCATGCGATCATGAATCGCGCAAAAGATAGATATAGAATTCATTGGAAAATGAAAAGCGCTAATCATGAATTACGCGCTAAGACAAAAAGTCTTTGGATTCTCTTCAAGCAAGGGATAACCAACTAGTCACAAATACACAAAATGCGAAGATAATTCCGCGAGCACACTTCTATTATAACATTTTCGGGGGTATCCGCGACATCCCCATCCTCCTCCTCATCCTATGGCTCGGAGTCTGGCTCCAATGACTGCTTCTCACCCAACCATTTCTTGACATGCTTATCCATGGCCACTGTATTCCATCGAACCCCGGGATTCTCTAGCCACACTTTCTTGCGCACAGCTATGACCGCCTTGGTCATGCAATCTGCCAGAACGCGATTGAAAGCAGCACTACTCCTATACTGGCGGACAATGTTGGTCTGTGCTTCGCGGACAGCAGTCGCCTTCGACACCTCATGCACGCAGACGAGGTCCTCCTTCTCTTGGAGAAATTCCTCTCGAAGGTTCCTCAGCATGGTCCATTTCCAGACACTT